CCCTGGCTGGGATGATTTAGTTGGGAATTGGCCCTGCTTTGAGCAGGGGGTTGGACTAGATACCTCCTGAGGTCCCTTCCAACCCTGATCGTCTATGATTCTATGCTCTGCAGTGCCTGGTGCAGCCTGCTCCATAGCCCTGGGTACTCCCTCCCGTCTCCCTGGCATGGCTGTTCCTCAGGGGTGGGCGGGGTTCCCTAGTACAGAGGGGAGGGCGTGGTGACCACATGCCCCTGCGGGCGTGCCCGGACGCTGGCGCTAACACCGAGCGCCTGTGCTGCAGGACACCATGGAGTACAAGAAGAAGCAACGTCCGCTCAAGATTCGCATGCTGGATGGGACGGTTAAAACAGTCATGGTGGACGACTCCAAAACGGTCACGGACATACTCATGACAATCTGTGCTCGGATTGGTAAGGGACGGAGCACCGCCCAGGCCAGAGCCGGGGGCAGGATGGGAGGTGGCGATGTCTTGCTTGGGGAGGTGGGGGGGAATGAGGGGATGTTGCCTAGTTGTTGGGGGGCGAGAGGATGGGGAGGGGGCATTGCCTGGCATGGGGTGAGGGTGGAGAAGGGGCGTTGCCCGGCCTGGGGGGGTGCGGGGGCAAGAGGATGGGGAGGGGGCATTGCCGGGCTGTGGGGGGTCGGGGAGAGTGGGGGGCAGTGCCTGCATGCAGGTAGGGGGTGCTGTCATTCAGGGGCACTGCCTCGGCAGGCGGTGTCTGTGCCCCATAGGGCGTATTGCAGGGATGCTGAGCTGGGCAGGGGGAGCTCCGTGTTCTCGGGGGGCTCCCCAGCCTGTGGCTGCCAGGCAGGTTGTGACGGGCACTGCGCTGTCTGCCCCTGCAGGCATCACCAATCACGACGAGTACTCGCTGGTGCGGGAGATGATGGAGGAGAAGAAGGAGGAGATCACCGGCACTCTCAAGAAGGACAAGACCTTGCTGCGGGATGAGAAGAAGATGGAGAAACTCAAGCAGAAGTTGCACACGGACGATGAGTGTACGGACCTGCCCTGTGCTGGGGGCAGGAGGGGTGGGGCCAGCCCGCACTGCAGGCAGCGAGTGGGCAAGCGGGCGCCGTGGGGGGAGGTCAGTCCTGGGGGTGGCCGGTGGTGGGGGGGGGGGGGGGTCAGGGGGGGGGGGGGGGGGGGGGGTCGCCCCTGCATAGTGTGTCTCAGTGCCCTGGGTCAGTCAGTCTGTCCCTCCCAGCCCCGTGCCCTGGGCTGGGACTAGCTGTGGGGCCAGCGTTCGGCCCTGCTCACATTCTATGCTCTCGGCAGTGAACTGGCTGGATCACGGGCGAACGCTGCGCGAGCAAGGTATCGACGACAGCGAGACGCTGCTGCTGCGACGCAAGTTCTTCTACTCCGACCAGAACGTGGACTCCAGGGACCCTGTGCAGCTCAACCTGCTCTACGTGCAGGTACCCGCCCCCCAGCCTGCTCCCTGCCACCACAGCGTAGCTCGTGACCCTTTCCCCGCTCCCCAGGCCATGCCGGTTCTCTCCAGCCTCAGCCCCGTGCTGCTCAGGGCTGGTGTCCTGGCCACAATGCTCTGGGGCATTGCAGTGCGGATTGCGCGCTGTTACCTGGTGCAGGGCAGCTCTCCATGGCTGGGAGCCGGCGCTCTGCTGGTCGATTGCTCTCCATGGCCGCTGACAGGAGACTAAGAAGGACTTGGCTTAGTTTGGAGCAGGAGAGATTTAGGCCCTGTCTACACTAGCACTTATGTCAGCAAAAGTCATGTCACTCAGCCTGTGACAAACCCCCCCTCGTGTGCCCAGCGCTCGGTCGGCGGGAGACGCTCTCCCCCGACACAGCGACCACCGCTCGGGGGGCGTTGTTATGATGTCGCCGGGAGAGCAGCTACACAAGTGATCTGACAGCGGCCAGTGTAGACGTGGCCTGAGTGTGGACGTTAGGCCCCCCAGCTGTCTCCCCACAGGATGGTTCAGCAGGTGACCTGAGGAGGCCGTGGGGTCCCCGTCATTGCAGGGTTTGGGGAGTGGACAGGACAAACCCCGTCAGGGATGGTTTGGGATCCGTTAATCTTGCCGCAGCACAGCGGGCTGGACTGGCTGAGCGCTCGGGGTCCCGCCCTGCTGTGCTCCAGGGGCCCCAGCGCAGCTTCCTGCTCCCTTCTAACCCTTTCCCTGGGGAAGTAGCAGTGTCGGCTTGGGGGGGTGCGGATGGGAGATGGGCTGCCCTGGTCTGGCACCTCCTGTCCCTCAGGGGCTGCCGCCACTTAGCCCCAAGGAGAAGTGTTTGAGCGGCTAGCAGTGCGTCTCGTCCCTCCCCCCATACACTCTGAGTAAGGCCAGGCCCCAGCCAGCTCCTGGGCCTGATGTGCCCCCCGTCCCCTGGCAAAACCGCAAAGCAGCTTAGCCCCAAGGCAGCAAATGGTCATCTTCAGAGAGCGCCGGGCAGGAACAGGCTCCATAACTGTCTCAGCACGTGATCACGTTAAGCCAGACGGCAGGAACTCTCCCCCCAGCCAGCATGCGACCCCCATCCCTTCTCCTTCCTCCGCCCCCCAGCCAGCGTGTGGCTCCCCTCCCTCCCCCCACAGCCAGCGTGCGACCCCCATCCC